TTTCTTAATTTCCATGTATTTGTATGGTTTTGGGGGTTCCTTTTGGAATTGATTTTTAGTTTGATTATACTGTGGTCTGAGAAGATACTTGATATTATTTCAATTGTTAAAAATGTATTGAGACTTGTTTTGTGGCCTGTTATATAGTCTATCTTGGTGAAAGTTCCACGTGCTGATGAGAAAAATGTATATCCTGCAGTTCTTGGGTAGAATGTTCTGCAAATATTTGTTAGGTCCATTTGATCTAGAGTGTAGTTTAAGTCGGTTGTTTCTGTGTTAACTTTATGTTTTGATACTCTATCTATTACTTTCAATGGAGTGTTGATGTCCTCAGTATTACTGAGTTGCTATCTATCTCATTTCTTAGGTATAGTAGTATTGTTTTAAATGACTCTAGGAGCTCCAGAGTTAGGTGCATATATTTTAAGGATTGTTGGATTGATCCTTTTGTAATTACATAATGATCTTCTTCTTTTTTTTTTTAACTGTTGTTGCTTTAAAGTTTATTTTATCTGACATAAGAATAGCCACTCCTGTTCCCTTTTGGTTTCCATTTACATGGAATACCCTTTTCTATCCTTTTACCTTGAATTTATATGAATCCTTATATGCTAGGCAAGTCTCTTGAAGACAGCAGATATTTTATTTGTAATTTTTAAATCTATTCTGCCAATCTGGATCTTTTAAGTGGAATATTTGGGCCATTTATGATCAAAGTGAATATTCAGATGTCTGGTAATGTTCTAGCCATCATGTTGATTGTTACCTAGATACTTTGTTTTCTTCCTTGTGTTATTTTATAGTCCCTGTGAATTTTATGCTTTCAAGACCTTCTATTCAGGTGCATGTCAAGCTTTTTTTTTTTTTTTTTTTTTTTTTGAGACAGAGTTTCGCTCTTGTTACCCAGGCTGGAGTGCAATGGCGCGATCTCGGCTCATCGCAACCTCTGCCTCCTGGGTTCAGGCAATTCTCCTGCCTCAGCCTCCCAAGTAGCTGGGATTACAGGCACGTGCCACCATGCCCAGCTAATTTTTTGTATTTTTTAGTAGAGACGGGGTTTCACCATATTGACCAGGATGGTCTCAATCTCTTGACCACCTGCCTCGGCCTCCCAAAGTGCTAGGATTACAGGCTTGAGCCACCGCGCCCGGCCCAAGCTTTTGTTTTAAGATTTAGAACTCCTTTTAACATTTCTTGCAGGGCAGGTCTGGTAGTGACAAAGTTTCTCAGCATTTGTCTGAAAATGACTTTATTTCTCTTTCATTTATGAAACTTAGTTTTTCTGGATCAAAATTCTTGGCTGACAGTTATTCTGTTTAAGGAGGCTGAAGATAGGACTCAATCCTTTCTGGCTTATAAGGTTTCACTGTTTTCTGTGCAGACAGTCCCTGTTGGTTTGACTTATGATCTTTTGACTTAATAATAGTAAGCAATGTATTCAGTAGAAACTGTACTTTAAGTATTTGTACGACCATCCTGTGTTTACTTTCAGTATAGTATTCAATAAATTATATGACATGTTCAATGTTTTATCATAAAATGGTTGTTGTGTTGGATGATTTTGTAAACTGCAGGCTAAGATAATTATTCTGAGCATGTTTATGTAGGTTAGGCCAAGCTGTGATATTCAGTAGGTTAGGTGTATTAAATGAATTTTTGAACTACAATATTTTCAACTTATGATGGGTTTATTGGGACATAACTTCATCATAAGTCAAGGAGCATCTGCATAAACATATCTTTGTGTTCTGACTGCTTTCAAGACTTGTTTTCATAGTTAGACCCTGACACCTCTATGTGTGCTTGTGCTTTTTTTTTTGTATTTATCTTACTTGGTTTTCACTGAGTATTTTGAATCCATAAATTTTATTAAATATGGAAATGTTTCAGCTATTATTTTTTCAAATGGTTTCTTACCCATTTTTATTTTCCTCCTTCTGGCACTATTATTACATGTATTTTGACCATTTGCCATAGTTTTGAAGATCCCTGAGATTGTGTTCATTTTTCTCCACTCTTTTTCTATTGTTTCCTTTAGATTGGCTAATTTCTATTGGCTTATATTCAAGTTCATTACCCTTTTGCCTCCCCAATTTGTGTTAAGTCCATTGATCCTGTCAATTAAAAAAATTTTAATTATTGTACATTTCAGTTCTAGTTCTTTTTTATAGCTTCAGTATCTCTGCTTAGATCTCCTATTTGTTCCCTTAAGAGCATCTTCCCATAATTATTTAAAAATATTTAGAACTTGTACTTTAGAGTAATTGTCTGCTCTATCCAACATCTAGGATATCTTGGATTGGTTTCTTGACTAGGAGTCATGTTTTTCCATTCTTTGTATATCTACTAATTTTTGATTGTACTGAATGTTGGTAATAGTTATAGAGATTTTTGATTCTGTTATCTTCCTCTGAAAAAATGATAATTTTTATTCTAGTGGACAGTAAGGTGTTCAATTAATGTTTTATCACCTTAAATTTCTGTAGGCTCATTTTTATGCCTTGATAGGCAGGATCTGTGGAAAGCCCATGTCTTTCCCATGCTCCTCTAATTTAATGGGATCAACCTCAAACTGTGTTCCTTGTGAATTTTGTGAAGATCTGGTTTTAAGCTTTGTTAGGGTATATCTAAAGCTGTGCTCTATAACATGGCAGCCACATGTAGTGATTTAAATTATATTAAATAAAATAGTTGAAAATAATTTTCTTAGTTGCACTGGTTATATTTCAAGTGCTCAATAGCCACCTGTTGCTAGTGGTTGTCACTTTGGACAGTACAGATGACATTAATACTATTGTAGAAAGTTATATTGAACAGTGCTCATTAAAAGTATGCCTTATTCTAGTCTGTGGTTCTTATTCTTAAATTTTCACCATTTTGGTCTCTCCGTTGGAGATTTAATATGAATAAGATTTCTTCACTCCGGTTGGATTGTATCTCCTCTGTTTTCTAGCACTGTTCAACTTCTAGCATCTCTGTTCTGTTACCTATCCTGTTCTAGCTACATTGTGTGAGCCTGTGTACTCTCACCCTGAGAAGGCATAGCCTAGCTCTCAGTGAAGGACTCCATAGGGCACCCATATACGGGCTTCTGGGGACCCCTGTCTGTGCAGTTCGCTCCCCTCCGGTGCCATGCCCTACAGATTGTAGTCATGTCAGCTGCTCTGAACTCTGGCTTCAGCCTCATCAGCTCATCAGAACTACTGTGCTCTGCTTATACTTCTGCACTCTGCTCTGCAGTGTGGGAAACCATTCCCAGAGAGCTGGGGCAATTGTGGGGCTCACCTTGCGAGCTTACCTCCTTTCAGGGATCACAGTCATGTGTTGCCTATTGTCCAATGCCAGAAAACTGTTGCCTTCTATATTTTGTTCAGTTTTAATGGTGGGAGGGAATTCATACCAATGATTCCATCATATCATGAAGTAGAACTCCTATTTTTTTAGCAAACAACTTAGAATCATAAACACAAACTCCTGTTTTTAAAAGCTCCTTTGCTTCTGGATTTTTCTCATTGGAAATTCACCCTGATTAGTCACTAGCATCACATTATTTTGCTGGCTTCTCTTTCTTTCTCGTCTTTCCTTTGCTCCTATTTTTCCCCACTGAGATTCTCTGGGATTTATTTTCTTTTGTCATGCAGAGGCCACAGCTTCTGCCCTCTAATCTGTATAATCAAAATCCATGAAATTCTTAGCAGAACAAAAAGGTGCCTCTCCCATTTAATACATATGTCCTGTTTATGAGAAGGTTGTAGTTATAGATAGCAAATATTTTTTCTCTTCTAATTTTTATTGTTATTGTATTATTAGCTACCTTATCTGTGTACTTCACACCTATACATCCCTCAAATCTATTCTCTACCCTCTGGTCAGAATGAACTTTGTAAAACTGACCATGTTACTCTTCTTTAATGACTTCCTGTTAGCAGATAAGATCTATTATCCCCAACTGACATCGAAGTCCTTCCATAATCTCTTCCTTTTCCTGTTTCCAATTTCATCTCTTGTTTTCGGCATTCACCCCAAACACCCTCACATACACATAGCCCCAGCAAAATAAAAATGTTTGTGGTTTTAAAAACACACCAAGATTTTTCTTTCCTTTATCCTTTTTCTCATAATGTCTCCTCTATCTAGAATCCCCTCTCCTTCCCTCTAATTTTCCCATCTTTACCTGGCTACCCTGACTCATTCTTCAAGGCATGGTTTAAAAATATTTTTCTTTTGAAATGATTCCCTGGGTCTGATCTTCTGTAGCTGGAACAGGTACCTCCTCAGGGTTCCTATGGGGCTTCCTTCTGTCAACTCCCTCATTGACTAGAAGGGAGGAACTCTGTCCAGTTGGTCTCACTAGTGCTTAGTATAGTGCTTGGCACATAGTGTGTGTTAATTTCTGTGTTAATTCAGTTACCCAATAAATGTCTACTGAGTACATAGAACATGCAATGCAGTGTTCCAAAATCTCTGCTGTTTGGACATTTATTTTCTTGTGAGAGAGGCTGAACACAGGCAAACAGGTATATAATATAATTTAGAAAGTGATGGATCTTTCTCTAAAGCAAAGTAAGGGCATTGTAAGCAATGGGGATGCTATTTCCGATAGTGTGCCTCTTTGTTATGACATTTGAGCAGAGATGTGAATAAAGTAAGGGAGGGAGCTGGGAAGACACCTGGGGAAGCATCATTCTAAGAGAGAAAACAAAGAATCAGAAGTGGGAACTTTCTAGGTGTGCTCAAGGAAGAGCAAGCAGACTGGTGTGGCTGGAGCAGAATGAGTGAGGAGTGTAGTGAGACAGACAGGTCCCAGATCATTAGATCTTCTAGGCTAAGGAAGGAATTTAGATTTTTTTCCCCCTAAGTTTAATGGGAAGCCATTGGGAGGTTTTTAGGAGTGGCATGATATGATCAGACTGGTGTTTTGAAAGGATCATGGTGGCTTCTCTGCTGAGAACAGACTGGAGGAGCAAGAGAGGGAACTTGGAGACCAGTTAGAAGATAATTGCAGTATCACTTTGCAGCCATATACTAAAATTGGAACTATACAGAGAAGATTAGCAGGGCCCTTGTGCAAGGATTACACACAAATTTGTGAAGTGTTTTGTATATATATATTACAATAGATATTATATATATATTTTAAAGAAGGTAGTTGCACTTGTCAAGGTGAGAGAACATGGTGGCTTGAACCAGGGTCTTAACTTTGGACTTGGGAAGAACACCTTACAGTGTATTTGTGGAATAATAAAGGGATTAAATTTCTTTATATTGGGCTCCCCTTTGGAAGGCAAGGCCTGTGTCTGATTAGCATTATACTCTGAGTACATTATATTCAAGTCCTATTAAATATCAGGAGTGCAACATTATCTTTTAACCCTCCTTATCTTTCCCATTTTTTAATAGATGAATTGCCAAGCATGGCATAAATAAAGGGAAGAATGATATACTATCTCATTGTTAAACCCACTTTCCAGATGAGGAAACTGAGGTTCAGAGAGGTTAAATCTCTTCATCAAGTTATCAAAAGCCACAACATGGTGGAGCCAGTCTTTTATCTCAGGTCTGTTTGGCTCCATAGCCCTGACATTTTCCATTCCATGAGCTATGCTGGCAGAGAGGGCACTTGTGTGCCATGATAGGAAAGGCTGGATGTGTGAGCCCTGGTCAGGAGGAACAAACCCCAGCCATGATGTCAGATGGAGCCTCCTTCAAGAACAAAGCCATGAGATACTTGCTGAGCAGTGACATGCTTTTGGTAAAGGTTCTTCTTCCAGGCGGAGTTTGCAAGCACCTGTGTGGCTGGGAATCTTGGTCTTTCTGATTCATACATGGGGGTTGCATTTTATTTTTCTGTCTTTGGAAAATAAAAAGAAAATATAAGGGAAGAAAAAGCCAAGTCCCAGTTGCCAAGTCTGTTAACGACACACATAATAGCGTGTTAACACAAATGATTATCGAGCTGGACAGCACCCAGCTTTCTGCCAAAACAAACCTTCCTGCTCAGCAGACCTGGGAATGCTTCAGCCAGGAGGGTGGACTGCAGTCTTCCCTGGTCTGGAAGCAATTAAATGCCCTAGCTGTTGGCATCGCTGACTTCCCCATGGGCTCCAGCGGGGAGGACTGGGCCCCAGGTCTCCTGTACTCACCACAAGACCTCAGGCAAGTCTCCACCTGTTTCTGAATGTGTGTCTCCTCAGGTGGGTTTGATCAGATGATCTCTAAGTCCGTCCATTTTAACTCGCTGTGTTTCTGGGAGGCTTTTGAGGAGCCAGTGGAATAACCAGGTGTTGGGCTCCTCATACATCTTAGAAGGAGGGTTTTCCCTCAGAGCAGAGCTGAGTTGGTAATACCTTTGTGTGAAGAGGTCAGGCAAGGAGCTCAGTGGCCTCCAGATTGTGCTCCCAGCTGTGAGACCCTGAGTATTACCTAAGCCTCTGTTTTCTCACCTGTAAAATGGTAAGTGGGTTCTCCTTAATGGGAAGTTATGAGGGCTAAATAAAATACAAGATGTAAGATTCTTAGCATAGTGCCTGGCACATAGTGATGAATATGTGTTCTTTCCATGCCTTCTTTTTCCTGTCCCTTTTTTCTTTTCTTCACTCCCTCCCATCTTTTCTACCTTCCTTTTATTCTTTCTTCATGTTTTTCCTAACCTTTCTCTTTTCCCTGCTTTCTTCTCTTCCCTTCCAGAAGAAAAACCTGTCTTGTACTATGTGCTGTGAGTCAGTTTATCTGCTTATTGCAGATTACTTGACTGCAGAAACCGTGTGCTAGTCATTGCTTTATTCCATCTCTCTGCATGCAGAGTAGGTGCTCAATAAGTGCTTGAGGAATGAATGATTGACTTGAAGGAGCCCAAGGCAGTTCTGCAATCCCTGGTTTCTTGGCTTTTCCTTTCCCTTTTTGTTCTGATGGAAAAATAAAAATCGTATCAGCTCACAACGCTCACTTGCTTGCTTACTTTCTCCCTCCCTTCCCCAGGCTATAAAAAACATTATATTCTAAAATGAAACAAAGGTAATGGAAAGCAGAAGTCCATGTTTTGTGTGAGATTGAAAACACATGTGAAGAATGAGCACTGAAAATGATGAATCTGCACAAAGGCATTGGCAGTGTTCCCTCTGCCTTTTTGTTCCAGTCAGAAGCAGGAGTGTGCACATCTGCCCCAGCCCCCAAGCCAGGATGGCCACAGTTGTCAAGACAGCATGCCTGGCATAGCCATGGCCAGAGTGTTCCCTTTAGGTCTCTTTTTGAAGGTACGTGGTAATGTGGGAACAAAGATCCCACAATACTTTTCTGACCTTTGGAAACATGGGAAAAAGGTCTCTCTGGGTTCAGAAATGGAGGTTCTAGTTCTGCTTTGACCTTAAGATGAGAATAGTCACTGTCACGTGTTGGGCGTCTCCTATGAGATAAGGATTTTATCTACATTAGGTCAACACTTACATTGCAGGATCATTTTGAATATTTATTCTTCCCATTTTATAGATGAGGCAACAAAGTCATGTAGCTAGTAAGTGGTAGACTGAGCATATAGTATTGGTAATACCTATTAAACATTGAGTTCTCATTTATTTGCTTTATGCATTCATTCAATAGATGTTTATCAAGCATCTTCTTTGTGCCAGACACTGTGGGTTAGTTGGAGATAAAGCACTGAATAAGATAGATAAGTCTCTGGCCTTACAGTGTGCTGGCAAAGATGTAATGACCTGTTCAATGTTCACATTCACTGAGTACAATGCAAAAAAATTCTGGGTACCATGAGCCTCTGTGATGGAAGGTACTTGGGTTTGAGGCATCAGGGAAGTTCTCCTGAGGAGTGACTTCAGGGGGAGATCTGAAAGATGAGTAGGTGCTATCTAAACAAACTGAGGTAGGACTTTCCAGCCAAGGGAAGACATATGAGAAGGGAAGAAAAAGCTTGGTGTAATTAAGGTGAGGAAAAGAGGCTTGAAAGATGAGGTTTATATACTTTATCTCATTTTATCCTTAAAAATTCATAAGGGGAATACTATTACCATCCTTTTTCTACAAATCAGGACACTGGGGCTAGGTTAAGGGCTTGCCCAAGGTCCCCAGTAGATTGACTCTCCTGCCTAACCTGATTCTGAAACACAGGGCTACATCTGACGAGGACTATATGGTCTGGCCTTTTCAAGTGACTGAAAATAGGAAATATGGCCAATAACTAGAGATCTTTGAATCCAGAACCTCTGAGCTGGGGGGCCTGAATTATACCAGCATCAGGGGCAGCAGAAACCCAGGTAGCCGTTGAAGAACTTTCTGCCATGGGCCTCTCCTGCCTATAGATACTGCGAGTTCTTGGGGTTCTTTTATGATAGCATCTTATCGTCATTGTTGACATTGTCCTGCATGTCCCAGATAACTCAGGGGTCAGGATCTAAAATGGTCTAAGATCCTATCTTGTCATGTGCTTAAGACTGCAGCTTAGGCATTGCTTCTGCCAAGAAGTCTTTCTTGAACAACGCAAGCCTGGCTCTATGTCCTTTCTTTGGTTGGTCTTCCCACATGCACCCACCCTTCCTCACTCCCTGTCCTGTAAGTTCCTCTTTTTCACCCTGAACCACACTGTATTTGGAGTATTCATTCACTTATCTGCCATCCCCATTTGAATCTGAGCTCCTCATGGGCAGAGCTTGGGTCTGATTCATCACTGTGTTCCATTGCAGCCCAGTGTTCTCTAATGCTGGATGAGTAAATGATGCATGAACATTCCGTTTTCTATCTCCCTTGGAGGGAAAGCAGCTTCCAGAAATCATGGCTGTCATTAGACCAAAGGGGGCCAAAGCTGGAAATCAAATCAGCGATGGGAAACATGAAAGAGAGCTGGTTTCTAGGAAAGAGGCCACCACTCTCCTAGAGTGGGCATCGTTGCCCTTGTAGGCTGTTTCAGCCTCAGGAAAGACAGTGAGAAGGTGGAGCTTGGGCTAGAGAGCATGATGCCAGAGAGGAAGAGCTGAATTTCCCAAATGGTTTCCATCTGCTCTGATGGTGTCCATAATCTTGAAATGAAATAACATTTAACGGCCTCCTGCCCATGAATCCATCCCATAAGCATTGCTGAGCACCTACTGTTTGCCTTTTATACTGCTTCATGCTGGGGAAATAGAAAGGAAGCAATGAGTCTTTGGGAGAGACAGGGATGAAAACAGATGCTATGCAAAGTGCTTCATTCTACCTAAGAAGAAAGAGCTTTGGAAACACACAGGATTGAGTCACGCTGGGAGAGTTGGGGAAGAATTTCTAGAAGAGCTAACAGTTTAGCTGGTTCTTAAAGGATAAGTAGTGGTGTGAAAGTGAAGCAAGGCATTCCTGGCAGAGGAAGGAGCAAGAGCAAAGTCCTGGGGGAATGCAAGGGTGTGGCCTGTCTAGGGAACAGGGCAAGTTGGTTCATTGGGGCAAGGAGATAGAGTGTTCTTGGGAAAGGGAGGAGGAAGAAAGAAGGTCAGAGAGACAGGTGTCCCAGCACCTAGACTGAACTGCTGTAGAGTCACAGCTGCACTGTCTGCTGTGTGCCAGACACTGGGTTAGCTGGAGACACAAGAGACAGGAGATGCTGACCTCTGAGGATGTAAGTCAGCACTTTCCACTTCTCATGGTCAGTTTCACCAACTAAGCAGGAAGGGGCTTAGTGGCCATTAGAGAATCTGGATAGACATGAGTATGGAAGCCAAAGTCAGTGGACTGTGCTGGGTTTCCTTTCTATTTCCCAAGGTCTGCAAAGAGCCACTGGGCTGCCATACTGGGAGTGAGGCCAACCACCAAATGAGAATGAAAGCCAAGAGCCACAACAGCAATGTCTTCCCTTGGTGCTTGCTGCACCTGCTTCATCCAAGTGAGAAGTGATAACATGTTTTCTAAGGAGAGTAGGATAAGGAAAGAGAAAAGGGAAGGCAAGGCAGGGAGAAGGGCATCATGGGGAAGGAGCTTGGTGTGGCTGTGGTCCATTGTCCTGGCACAGAGAATAAATGGGGCTGACATTCACACAGCCCCCATTGATTTTGGCTCCCTGCGAAACGCCTGTGGGCAGCACGTGGGCTGTAGGAACTGAATCACCAGTTGTGTTCAGGCACCTGTCCCAGCTCAC